ATCTCCTCTCATGCTCACACCGCCCCCTTCAGCCCAGATCTGCAGAATCAGGGGTAAAATCAAGTGGAGGAGGGAGTTAACTCTCTCTCTCCTCCCCCAGTTCACTCTGCTCTCTGACTTCTCCAGGGTTTAGGAAAGAAAAGGGGCACGAAGGTCTGGGCTGGAGGTGGTCTGCAGAATCAGGGGTAAAACCAAGTGGGGGAGGGAGTAAACTCTCTCTCTCTCTCCTCCCCCAGTTCACTCTGCTCTGACTTCTCCAGGGTGCAGGAAAGAAAAGGGGCACGAAGGTCTGGGCTGGAGGTGTCCGAGGAGTGTCCCCTGGGGCCACCTCTGATAGCCCTGGGCCTGACGCGGTGAGGTGCTCTCAGACAGCCACTCATGCTCCCTTGGTTCTGAGTTCTGGTGGCTCACTCCCCACCGCCCTTTGTTCTGGGGTGGCCTCTGCCTTTTCAGGATGGTTCCAGCCCAGCGACCTTCCGTGTGTGCCCCACCCCTGAAAGACTGTTGAGCCCTGAGAGCGCGGGCTGGGGTCCTTCTCACTCTGGCCTCTCAGGCAGCGCCCCCTTTGTTCTTTTCTAGACAAAAATATTTCCCCAAGCTCCAAAGCAAAGGCTCGAGTTGTCCCTAGAACTCTGGTGTGAGGATGCTTCTAGAACTCTAGTCTGAGGGTCCCTTGCCTGCCCTCACCCAATTTGGGAAGGAAGGAGAGGAAACCTCACCTCACTCCTGGCAGGCTAACGACTCCAAAGAACACTTCCCTCTGAACCCTACCAATTCCTCATCCTTCCCCAGAACAGTCTGGGATGAGTGATGACCCCAGGACCCCAAGCCCTGCACGGGGGTTCAGCACCTCTCACTGTCTTCACAGTGGGTGAGGTCACAGCATCCACTGTTCTCAGAACTAAGACAAACCAGAAAACTGAAAGCGCGGGCTGGGGTCCTTCTCCTCACTCCGGCCTCTCAGGCAGCATCCACTGTTCTCAGAACTAAGACAAACCAGAAACCTCCATTTAGTGCTCGTGTACATCAGTAATGCTGATAGTTTGGTTCTCACCTACCTCTCAACTCAAGGCGAAGGTTGAGCAGTTGACCAACCACCGCTGAGGAGCAGGTGCCATCAGAAACTCCCCCACCTCCTTGCTCTCATATGCCTTTCACCATGCAGTGCGGGCCCTCCCTCTTCCCGACACCTCAGATAAGCACTCACAGGCTTCTCTTTCTTGATAGTGACCTCCAGTCAGGCAGAGACAGGCTCCTGCCCTGCATACCTCTTAGCACCTGCTGCCCTCAGAAAGTTAGAGACCTAGTTTCCTACACTGTAAATGCAGGTACAACACGAGCTGCTCGTGTATGTCAGTAATGCTGATAGTTTGGTTCTCACCTTCCTCTCAACTCAAGGCGAAGGTTGGGGACCAACAGGTTGTGCAGTTGACCAACCACCGCTAAGGAGCAGGTGCCATCAGAAACTCCCCCATCTCCTTGCTCTCACGTGCCTTTCACCATGCAGTGTGGGCCCTCCCTCTTCCCAACACCTCACAGGTTTCTCTTTCTTGATAGTGACCTCCAGTCAGGCAGACAGGCTCCTGCCCTGCATGCCTCTTAGCACCTGCTGCCCTCAGGGAGTTAGAGACCTCTGTCTGCCTAGTTTCCTACACTGTAAATGCAGGTACAACACGAGGACTAACAAAGTCCGCACTTGAGTACTCAGCACCAACCAGCCCGCCATGTTAGCTATTATTAGGGGTGTCCCTCTCACATCTAAGAATGCGGACAGCATCTCTGGAAGGTGAGGAAGACTGAGGTGAGATGAGGCCTCCCCGAAGAGGTGGCGATGAGAGTCGGAGACCTGACCATGAGTGGGAGCAAACTAGATGAAAGGAGATCTGTGTGTGGGAAGAGTTCCCTTCGCAGGAAGGCTGGTCCATGCTGATCTCCCCCCTGCCTTCGCTTTGTTCCAGCACCTCGACTACAGACTTCACTTCTCTGATGCAGAACAAGGTACGGCCTTGGGTTTTTCTGTGCTTTGCGATACTTGAAAGTCCCTCGAGATAACTCAGGGTCAGAGATGCCTGACAGCTTGTTCAGAGCCCCACGGCCTCCCAGAATGTGAGAACAAAGGGGTGCTCCCTGAGCCTGGCTCCAAGCCCCAGCCCTGAGTGCTGGGCGTGGCCACATACAGCACAGGTTAGCCTTGTTTCATGGAAACCCAACAGTCAGCCACCCAGGTTTTCAAGAGCCAACGATTCATCTTTCGGATTTCTTTCAGGGGGGATTCCATTTACAAAAATCTTATTACAAAATGGCCTCCTCCCCTCCCCCAAAGCCGGTTTTATATCTCTCAGAGCCCCACGGCCTCCCAGAATGTGAGAACAGGGGGGTGCTCCCCAAGCCTGGCTCCAAGCCCCAGCCCTGAGTGCTGGACGTGGCCACATACAGCACAGGTTAGCCTTGTTCCATGGAAACCCAACAGTCAGCCACCCAGGTTTTCAAGAGCCAACGATTCATCTTTCGGATTTCTTTCAGGGGGGGATTCCATTTACAAAAATCTTATTACAAAATGGCCTCCTCCCCTCCCCCAAAGCCGGTTTTATATCTCTTCTCACATCAGTTCCAACTGAGGGACCTTGATCCATGCAAACTGTGGGCTCTGTTGTGGTACAATGTTTTTCATTTTGTGTTAAAGAAACATGAAGGATTCTTCATTAGCTTATGCAGTTCCAGAAAGCCAAGCCCTCCTATAAGGACAGAGCCATATTCTGCCAGATTTCAAAAGCCTCTTCAAATGGGGCTTGACACCAGGCTGGACGGAACCTGGGAGGGAGGCAGGCACAGTTGGGTGGCTTTCACTGCGTGCTCTCCCTGGACGCTGGTCTCCGGTCTCCGGTCTCCATAGTACCGAAGCGGGGGGTGCCCTGGGATGCTAAATGGTACTTCTCGAGGCCCACCACTTCCTCCTCCTGACAGTGTCATGGTCTCTGTCCCAACAGAACCTGAACGGTGCGCCCACGATCACCAACCCCGTGAAAACAGCCAACCACCAAGACAAGCAGCACCCGTCCCAGGTAATTAAATTGCACCTCCTGGCCCTGTCTGCCTTATGAAATGCCTTGAGCTCCCCAGGGGGCACTGGACTTGAAGTTGTGAGGGCGTCAAGCTAGGGAGCTGTCCCCAGATCATCTTCCTCCACATCCCTGTCTGGCCTGTGTGTGCCATGGAGATAAGACATCTAACTCACTGCTGACTGGACAGGTCACTGTACGGTCTGAGCCCCAGCTTCTTTAAGTATAAAAGCTGAGGCCTGATCCAGATCAGAAGGTGTCCAAACTATTCCTCCAAGGTGCTTCAGGGACACTGCAAATATCTGAACATCTGGAGATTTTAAGGCAACTGTTTTTCTGTGAGAATGGGATTTTTCGGATACTATACCACTAAACTAAATACAGAAGTAACATAGATGTTGAAGCTGTATAAAATCACAACTGCCACTTCTAATCTTTGATTCAAATGTGTGTGTTTATCAACATGATCACAATTATCATCCACCATCCATCATCATAAATAACTGCCACCATTTATTAAACACTTCTTATGCTAAGCATTTTCTCTGTTGTCTTGGCTCAGTGAGGTAGGAATTTTGAATACCCCGCCTCCCTGTTTCAAATGAAGCAGAGAGATGAAATCATGTACCCAAGTCCAAGTCTCCCTGACCACATGTGTATGCACTCGGTTATAAAATAGATGTATGCCCATTAAATGCCACATTTACATTTTATATATTGGCGGTCCATCTAAAATTTCATTAGAAGAAAGGATTGTGGCAAACCACTGGACTGGAGAATCTCTGAGGTCTCTTCCAGCTCTGACAATCAATGAATCTTTCAGGAAGGTTTGGAAAAATCCAGAAGTACTTGGGCCCTCTTAGGAAGATAGGGAAGTAGTTAAGAGCTTTGAGAAATGTGGCACCGTGGCCTCCTCCTCATGATTGACCTACGAGCTGGCCTGACATTTGCACCAGGCTGTTCCTAATCTCATGAAGACTCATGAGGGATGGCCAGGCCCGGAGGGGGATGGCGGCACTTGCTTCTATAGTTCACACTTGAGACCAGAGGTCAGCGACCTGTGACCCTGAACAGCCATCATCTGGACCAGCAGGGCCTGAGAGGACCATGCAAGACTGAGGCTTATATGCAAGGAGGAGGGGAAAAGTGTGGAGTAAAAACCAGTAGGCACGAAGGAGAAATGAGTGAGGAAGGAAAGGAGGAGAGAGTCATACACTTTGACCCTCTGCCCAATGAGAGCTGGACTCCTGTAATCCAAGGCTTATTTTTTAGTCGTCTCCCAATCGGGGATGTCATTCTAACTCCTCACAGATCAACCTTCTTCCATTTGCTATTCAGACACTAAGTGGAGAGCAACCAGTTTTATTGGAGTTCAAGTAACAGATAGGACATATTAATAATAACATTAACAACAACAAAAATAATATAGCTTATCATCCATTAAGTGCCAGGGAGTGTTCTAAGTGCTTTGTATATATTACTTCATCTATTCTTCACAACGATCTAGCAGAGAAAATAGGATTTTTCCCATTTTATAGAAGAAAGTGCAATTCGGAGGGGCCGCTGAGTTGGAAAATGGTAGAACTCACATTGGGATTTGTCGCTCTGACTCCCAAGTTTGAACCCTATCCACTGCACCATGGTGTCCTGTTTTTCATGCTTTATGTGCCAGACAGCCGAGCTGGGTTGGAGATTCACTGATTTTCCTTTGGTAGGAAAAGCCACTAGTCCTGGCGTCCGGCCCCAGGAACCGGGAACTGAACAGAAAGTACAAGTCCCACCACGACCAAATGATCTGCAAGTGCCTGTCTCTGAGCATATCTTACGCCGCTACCATCGGGGGCCTGACCACCATCATTGGCACCTCCACCAGCCTCATTTTCTTGGAACACTTCAACAAGTAAGTAATTCACTTAGTCAACGAATATCTACTGACCACCCATGTGTCAGGAATGTGATGAGGTGCTAAGGATACAGCAGAAGATGGGACTAGAACAGTTTCTGTAGCAAGAGGGAAAGAGATGACCAAGTCATTACAGCTGAATGTGACTGGGGAAGGGCAGGGTTCTGCTGGGAGAGCCCCGCCGGGGGAGGTCACCCAGTCCCAGTGCCTCCCCGAAGAGGCGGCGACAAAAAGCAGCGACCTGAAGCATGAGTTGGAGTGAACTAGATGAAGGGAGATTTCCCAGCCAAAGCAAACAGTGTGTAGGAGGGCTCGGAGCGAGAGAGCAGAGCACATAAAAGAAAATGAAAGCGGGCAAAGGAGGCCAGGAAGGTGGACAGGCGGACCACAGAGGACCTCGCCAGGCCCTCTAAGGAGCTTGGACTTCATTCGAAAGGCCATGAGAACCTTGAAGAATTTTAGGCTTGGAGTGAGGTGATGAGGTTTATAGTTTAAAAGCTCATTTTGGATTTTTTGTTTTAAAAAGAAGAGTGGATTGGAAATGAGAAAGGCAGGAGGAAGACAATTCGGAACGCGGCTGCAGATGCCCAGGAGAGCTGATGGTGGCCTGGTTGACAGTGCAGTGGGGAGGACAAGGTTTGGGAGGTATTCAGAGGTAGGCCTGACAGGCCTTGGTAGGATTAGAAAGAGCCTGAGAGGGAAAGGCCAGGTCTAATTGTCAGGCTCGTGGCTTCAGCAGCTGGGTTGCCCTCGACCTAAATGAGGGGAGAGAGGAGGAAATGTTGATATAGAAATGGAGATGTCTGGCTAGGAGACACAGCTCTGAATCTCAGGAGAAATTTTGAGGCTCACGGATAGATTTGGTTCGATTTTGGCACAGACTTGCTGTGGCCTGCGCAACTGTCTCCATGGTGTGCAACCTGTGCCGTCCCAGGGCCACCATTCTCAGAAGGGCCCCACGTTGGGCTTCATGCTCTGTTGTCACCATCTGAAAATCCTTAATAGTAATTGAATGAGGGGCCCCACATTTGCATTTTGTACCGAGCCCCACAAATTAGATAGCAGTCGGTCCTGGTGGCGCGCATGTGGAAATTGAAGCCATAAGAGTGAAGGGGATTTCTCAGGAAGAACACATAGAATAAGAAGAGTGGGGTCATAAATATTAAGCCCAAGCATTCAAAGGAGACTACGAAAGGGAGAATAAAACAGTATCACACAGGAAAGAGGAAAATCTGGTGTCATTCTACCCAAAGGAAGATGTTTCAAGGAGGAAGGAATGGTCAAGCAAAGTAAGGACAGAACTGTACCCATCTGATTTGGGGGCATGGAGGCTACTGGCGACCGAGGCAGGAGCAATTTGGTCAAGAGATTGGAAAAGAAGCCCAGTTTCAGTGAGGTAAAGAGTAAGAGGAGGTGAGGAGATGGGGCGTCAGCTGTGAAGAGAGGAGAGCAATGGCATAATAAAGGAAGAGTGAAGTAGGGCCAAGAAGGGGTTTTTAAGATGGGAGACTTGTAAGTGCTGACAGGAAGATCCAGATGAGAGGAAAACTAAAGGGTTGGGAGAGACGGTGTAAACACAGTGATGTCACTAGCAAAACAAGAAGGGATGGGATCCAGAGCAGACGAGAGGAGAAACACATCTTTTTAAAAAGAAAATTTTTTTTTATTGATTCAGAGAGGAAGGGAGAGGAAGAGAGAGATAGAAACATCAATGATGAGAGGAAATCATTGATTGGCTGCCTCCTGCACATTGGACCGAGCCCACAACCCAGGCATGTGCCCTTGACCCGTAATTGAACCTGGGACCCTTGGGTCCGCAGGCTGACACTCTATCCACTGAGCCAAATGAGCTAGGGTGAAACACATCTTTCATTTTAGCAGAAACAGGAAGAAAATGAGGAAGGAAAAGGGGAGGGATGGAGGGAGTAGGGAGGAGAAAGGACCAATGAAAATTTAAGACCTGATCCCCCGGATCTGAGCTTCATGAATCCCTCACACCGTATTACTCTATCCAGGCTCTGAGTTTTTGCTCTTTAATTTCTGGTTCACTTTGTGGTTGGGGCAATTAATATTCCCTTAGTCTACTTCTTGAGTGGCAAATGGAACATTTTGTCATAACTGTGGCTTACCTGGGCAATAGGGATTCTGTGAAAGGAAGGTGGATTCCCTGGGTCCCACTGGTCTGAAAATGCCACTGCGTTCTCTTTGCATTGGTGAACAGACCACCACCAGAGTTCATTTTGGCTGTTTCAAAAACCTACGAATTAGTTGTTACACTCAGTATATGTATTCTAACTTTTAAAATGCTATAAATAGTATAGGCTCTTTTATTATCTACGAAAGTCTACTTAATCTACTGTAAAAGTCCTTTCCTGCCCCAGCCGGGTGGTTCTGTTAGTTGGAGTGTTTTCCTGTAGACCAAAAAGGTTGAGGGTTCGATTCCTGGTCAGGGAACATGCCTAGGATGCAGGTTCAATCCCCAGCCAGGGTGTATATGTGAGACAACCAATCCATGTTTCTCTCTTTCCCTTCCTCTCTCTCTAAAATCAAACATATCCTTGGTGAGAATTTTTTTTAAAAAAAAAGTCCATTCCTTTTTCTGGGCACAGGGGCAGGGTCTCAGCTTCTGTATAGAGAGGAGAGATGATGCAACAGACTTGTGCCATTAGCCCAGGGCAGTGAGTCACTGAATGATTTATGTCCTCAGGTATCCTTCTAGATCCAAAAGCCCTCTTCCCAAAGCCCACTATCAGGACCCACTCTGGCCTTTAGGGAGGGCACAAGCTGTCATAACTTCATCAAGAGTCACACAGATATTAGTAAAGGTAGGTCCATGACCAGGCCACAGTGCAAAAGAGTAGATGTCCCTGTGATGACAGAGGAGCTTAAACATGCTTAGATCCTGTGCTTCTATTGCACGCTCTGTGGGGAGCCTGCTCTTGGACCTTCTCTTTTCCATGCAGGGCCCAGCATGAAAACAGGGGCACAGTCTGCTCCCTCCTTTGAGGAGCTCTATGCCCAGCCCTAGCAAGAAGGCCCAAGGGTACAGAAACACAGGCATTGCTAGGCTAAAGTCATGGCTCACATGTGGTCCATCCTGGTTTCCCAGGAAACACCATCTGGGCTGGGGGCCTCAGCTCTGCCCCATGATGAACGAGGAGTCCTGAGCCACCTCCCTAGCATCCTAAGACAGCAGCAGATAAAGGATTGATGAAGGATTTGGAGATTCCAAGTCTTGGTTCTCCATTGCGCACAGTTAACACCTGGAACTTCCATGAGGCTCCGGAGTCCAAAGTTCTCCAGAATTGATGCTCTGTATCCCCCAATCAAAACTCCAAAAGTATACCAGACTGCCCTCTCCATTCTCTGTCTTGAAAACCAGATGAGGAAATTGATCGGAATCTTTATGTAAATTAAGAGCAAACAACTCCTGAGTGATTCTCCTGAGTGCAAAGTATATACACTTCAGTGATGTCATTTTAGCTGCTTACTTCATAATTCCTGGCTGGGCTCTAAACATTTGCAAGTGCCCAATACCTGAGGTCATGTTTTACCATATTGTTATCATTATCTCTGCTGTCTGTCTTCTTAAGGAGCACTTAGCTTATTACCCCCCAAAGTGCCACAAGCAAATCCACGGTTTCTAATCGCTGACCTGGTTCTTTCCCCTCCAGCCAGTATCCAGCCGCAGAGGTGGTCAACTTTGGCACCTGGTTCCTCTTCAGCTTCCCCATCTCCCTCATCATGCTGGTGGTCAGCTGGTTCTGGATGCACTGGCTCTTCCTGGGCTGCAAGTGAGTCCCAGGGGCCTGCCAGCGAGGCAGAGGCCCTCCTGTTCACCCAAGGTCACAGCACAGCCCTGGAGGGCGATCAAGAGGGAGCTGCTGAGGAACCACAGAGGATGCCCCTAGGAGAACACAGTGGACTGGACAGCAAGTCGGGCATTGTCTGTCCTAGATGCTCCACCATACATGAGCCCTGCACTTCACGATGAGCTCTACAACAACGTGTTCTTAATTACAACTAACTGGTTAGGGGAACTCTCATTTTAAAGAAAGTCTGAATTGAAGAGTGTTTCATGTCATTTCTTTGCTCTCAAAGCATATAAAGTAATTCCAACTAACTTCTAGGATAACAAGTAGAAGTTGCCTTAGGCTTAATTTTGTAGACACAAGCGATTTATACTTAAGGAATATGCTCGTTTCCCTCAAAATAACAAGTGGGGCATTCCTCTTGCAATGTTATTGCTAACATTAACCTGCTCAGCAAGCCTTTTCTTCACAACCAGTGGTCTGCTCCAAATGTGACCCGCTTCACGCACATAAAGGGAAGATATATGGAGTTTTGCTATTAGCCCATGGAATCCAATGCTCCCATTGGCCAGGGAATGTTCTCTGAGCTGACTTATTTATTTTCTTACTCAGAGATTGCTGTCAAATCAACGATAACTGTATACTTCTATACCTCCAGCATTGCAAATAGAAAACCAACACTCACTTTCACCCCAGACAAGTCTTGTCTCTAGACAGATAAACACACACACGTATCTGTGTGGGACACAAGTCTATAAACATCTACACACAAATGCCCCATCACATTCTTAATTATGCAAAAGACAAGTATGTAGAAGCAACATGCATGAGTCTGGAAGACGTAACTTCACACTGATTAAATACTCGATGCATGACCTAAAGGCTATGGAAGCAGGCTAGGGAGAGGCTGTGTAACTTGGCAAATGAAAATTATGACAGGTGGGTTGGAGGGGCAGAGCGTGTGAGTGGAGAGAACAGTGATCAGAGCAAGCCAGTGGTTTAGTATTTGCTGAATACTTGCTCTCCTGTGGGCAGAAGTGTTTCCTTTATTCTTTTGCTCATTCTCCCTTCTCAGTTTTAAAGAGACCTGCTCTCTGAGCAAGAAGAGTAAGACCAAAAGGGAAGAGCTGTCAGAGAAGAGGATCCGAGAGGAATATGAAAAGCTGGGAGCCATTAGGTAAGAATCGGCCATTCACCTTCTCTCTTCCGGGAGAGAAAGCATGGCTGGGGAGGCCAGCACAGAAGCAGTCTTGCTTCTGACACTCCTCTGAACTGGGGGAGGCCCCCTCAACATAAATCCAGGCATTTAGAGATGCTACTTACTCAGATTCCAGGTGGCCGCCCTTCCCCTTCACTATATCCCGAGTCTGATGTATAGCCATGGTGAGGGGGTGGAGTGTCATAGGTGGGGCACCCGGAGGACAAAGAACAAGGCAAGACAGCACAGCCACCCTCTTGGCTGAATTCTCTAAAGTCAGGAAGGACTCCCTGCATTGCCAGACCACAGGTTCAGCGGGACTCCTGGGGAGCTGGGACTTTGTCCTGTATTTACAGAGCATCGGGCAGCATCAAATACAGACTCCAAGACAGAGTCCGAGAATTCACTCACCAACCCTCGGCCATTTCTTTTCTTTATTTTACTCTTTAGCTGTTTTAGAGCCATTCCTATCACCTTTCCTACAGTGACCTTTTATGGCAATTGGCATTTATAACTTTGGGTAAAAGGATTCAGGTTTAAACTGTGTTTTTTTGTTGTTGTTAATCCTCACCCTGGAGCCGGGGATCAAACCTGCAACCCAGGTATGCGCCCTTGACTGGAAATCGAACCCGTGACCCTTTAGTCTGTGGGCCAACACTCTAACCACTGAGCAACCAGCCAGGGCAAAGCTTTATTTTAAAAAACTTTATTTCTAAAAGGAATACATGTCCCCTGGCCGGTGTGGCTCAATGGATTGAGCGTCATCCCGTGCACCAAGAGTTGTTGGTTCAATTCCTGGTTAGGGCATATGCCTGAGTTGCGGACCCAATCCCCAGTAGGGGGCGTGTAGGAGGCAGCTGATCAATGTTTCTCTATCATCGATGTTTCTATCTTCTCTCCCTCTCCTTTCCTCTCTCTAAAAAATCAATGATAAAAAAAATCGTTTTAAAAAATATTTCATTAAAAAGTTAAAGGAATACATGTTCATTGTAGAACACTTAGAAAATACAGGGAAATGTAAAGAAAAAGTTAACACTGACTTGTATTCCCAGAATCCCAATGTTAACTGTTAACAACTGTTAACGTGATAGACTGTTACTTCCTTGCTTTTTTTGTGCAAAATTCTATGTATTTATGGTAAAATTCATTCCATACTGAAGTTTTATATTTAGCATTAGATGGTCATTATATCACCCAGTCATTCATTCTGCTGTGGAAACTTCTTTATTAGATGCATCTCATTTTAACAGTTATGTTGAAATGTATTCAAGGTTGTGAAATATCACTGTTTCCTTTTTTAAATGTTTTTAAATAGGTGATGCTTCGATGTGCATTTCTGGTTATTTTCTTAGCTAAAAGGAATGACCGAATTTAAAGCTTCTGAGATATATGATCATATTGGCTCAAAAAAGTTGTGGCAATTCCTGCTCTGACCAACAGAGTCTGCAGGCTTAGTTACCTTCGAAATGTGTGATGTGTTACCTTTGCCTCCCCACCTAAATATCGCTGGTAAACTCGGTTAACATTTCCTGGGCTCATCTCGGCCCCCTTCCCGCTCAGCCCGTGTGCAGAGTGGCTGAGCAGTAACTGTGCTTCGTGCTTCCTGTGTGGAGCCCTGAACACAGGAGCATCGCAAAGCAAGTGGCAGGGTTCGCAGGAAGTTCAGTCACTGTTGCATTTCACAGCTACCCTGAAATGGTGACTGGATTTTTCTTCATCCTGATGACGGTGCTGTGGTTCACCCGGGAGCCTGGCTTTGTTCCTGGCTGGGATTCTTTCTTTGAAAAGTAAGTGAAACGGTCCCCTCCTTAAGAATGACCCCTCAGGCAGTTTCCTCTGCCCCCTCTCCCGACTCTCAGGGACAGACACAGACGTGAAGCCAGGAAGGCGCTTTGTCCCAGTGAGAGTCCCTTTCAGGGCAGCCGCAGCGAGCAGTGAGGAGGAAGAAGGGATGTGATCTGAGTCACGTATCCAGCTGTGTGAACTTGGCCTTGTTACGCAAGCTCTTAGGACCTCAGCTGTCTCATAGGTTTTTCTGAGAGTTAAATGGGAAAATGTCCATACAGTAAAATACTTTAAAGACAATGGCCAGGGAGTGGCTGAGGCCTGTGGAGGGAAAGGCAGACAGAGGTTCCTGTCTCAGCCCTGCGTCTTCCCCTGAGGGCCAGGGCCACAGGCCTCAAACTCCCCCAACACAGGATCTTACTCGAGAAAAGACACACAAGGAAAGGTGAACCTTGCAGGAAAGAGGACCCATCCTCATCTATTCTCCTTCATCCAAGCAACTCCTTATCACTCTTGGGACTCGCCCCAACAGTGGGCCCATAAATTCTCACTAAGTCATCTACCCTCGCCAGGCCCTGCGCCTCCAGACACTAACCATTGCCATTAAACCCACTGCTGCACAGTCAGCACCCTGGCAAGAAGGAAGGGTACTGTCCCTGTAGACTTTCCTTCAAAGAGGCTTTGGGTTCAGAGAGGCTGTCCTGAGACCGGGTGCTGCCCCGGGGGCTCCTGAGCCTCCCCTCCAGCTTGCTTGTCTCTGCCAGGAAAGGCTACCGCACGGATGCCACGGTCTCCATCTTCCTCGGCTTCCTCCTCTTCCTGATTCCGGCGAAGAAGCCTTGCTTTGGGAAAAAGAAGGATGGTGAGAGTCCCAGGGGAGACGTTGGGGCTGGCTCTAGTCAAATAACACCCAAGTCAGAATTTTCTGAAGGAGCTTGATCCAAGCCCTCTGATTCTGCCCAAATATAGCAGAGCAGCCTCCCAAACCATCCGATTCCTCAGTTCAGCCCCTTTCTCCACAAATCACACCCATCACCTCCCTGTCTACCTGTGATCCAGGGGAGGACCGGGAGCCCTCGCTGAGGATGGAGCCCATCATCACGTGGAAGGACTTCCAGAAGACCATGCCCTGGGAGATTGTCATCCTGGTGGGAGGAGGCTATGCGCTGGCTTCTGGCAGCAAGGTAGCTCTTCAGTTCTGTTCTTGGGCCGGATATTTTTCCAGCTACTTTACCAACCGAATCAATACAGTCCTGGGCGGGAAGAGTCAAAGGAGCTGAGGGAGAGGTGAATGTTCACCCAAGTCACTGGGAAGGGACAGAGAACAGCCAGGAACTGATATCCTGTCCTCGCTGAGCTTCTAAGCTAGCGCTCCTGGGACCAGTGTTACAGATCAACTGGGCCAGGGAGTCATGGCACGCGGCATTCACACCTCATTGATGGGCCCGCACTGTCACAAGCAAAAGGTGTACTGGATTCTGTAGCCATCACCTTCTGCGGATTTGACAGAGGTGACAGGAGATGTCTGTAAGGGCCCAGAGATGCCCCCAGTGACACCCCTCAGATTGTCCCTCAGTCAGTCATATGCATATACTGAGCCCCTTTGGAGAATTGATGCTAAAGCTGATGTAAATGCCCCAACTTCCTCATCAAGAGGACTTGGGATGAGATCTTTTAAAGGGGGCTGGTGAGAAAGAAATGAATTTCCTAAAGTGTTGGCCCTTCCTAAAATAGAAAACAACCCTAAGAATGAATCAGGCTAAGGGTCACACCTTTTCTCCCTCCAGCCTCTAACCCATCCTAAACTTGGCTCACTTATGACGGCCCATTCACTGTGGGCCACTGCTCTCTGCATCGTCAATATGTCACAGTCCTACAATCGGAAGGAACCTTGGAGGACACTGAGCCCCATCTCCCACCCAGTGTGAGGTTTCCTTCCATGACACCCCTGGCTTGAACACCTCCGGTGACAGGGCAAGTCCTTGAGTAGGGAACAAAGAATATTCTCTACTTTCAGCTCAGGTTTTCTGTATGCCTTCCGCTGACGGTTCTGCCTCTGCTTTCTGGAAACCTCTCATGGGTGATAATTATTAAATTAATATCAGCTACTAATCCCCCTAGATTTCTTTTTTTCCAACTAAAACTCCTTAGTTCCTTTCACTATTCCCACAGAAGTACGGACCCCTTACCATGCTGGTTCTCGTCTTGGGACTCATTAGTTTGCACTTGGCCTTATTCAAACATGCTCCAGAGGTGGTGAGAATAACTCAGTTATATTACCCAAGCCCCATCTCTCACGTCTGATCCAAGCACCACCCTGTATTTGTATGGAAGCTTTTACAAGGCTTCACTGGCTCTCATGTCAACATGTATATTGGAATTGCAGTAAACTAAAACTCTCCATTCTTTTAATTAGCCCCTATTAAGCCTTAAGTCCTCCAACCAACGCTGCATATATGCTGTTGATATTTCTAATTCCAAGTTCAGATGTCATCCTTACCTTTACAGAATTTCAGTTGTTAGTTTTGGCCTCTGAGCTCTGCCTGGCCAGCTCTTTTTCTTTTTAACCAAAATTATGTGTATAACAGATAGTAGATATTTCTGTAAACCCTGACTCTACTAGTTTAATAATATCATTCAGGCATAATATATGTGATTCCTAGCGAGTATGAAATAATTTCAGTCTTGACATTAGTGAGGAAAATACAGTGTAAAATATTTTCATACCGAGGATTTAAACAAGACTTCCTTTGTTGTGTTTTTTTCTAACTTTGCAGTCTAATTTATCAATTTATCTCAAATTATAGTGTAAAGTTCTGGGGAAAAATAACTGCCATTAAATTATTTCCCTGTACTTACAAGTGTTATTTGGATAACGTGAAAAGTAAAACTATTTCTTTACAAAAGTGTACGATTTCCACTCAGCTAACTGCTCTCCCTCCTATCTTTGCCCAGCGAGCAGGGCTAAATGTGTTGAAAGAGATAACAATTACAGAGCTCCTGTGGGCCTCAAGGCTCTGTATCAACATGAAATGATTAGTCCCCACATGTTGGATTTGCAATACTCAGTTGGTTGAGGGAAAAAATAAAGGAAAGTGCTCCAAGGTAAAAAATGGCTACAACAGAGAGAATTCTGAAGGCTCTAGTCATCAGGTGTCTATGAGCTTGCCATGAGGTGGCCAGAGTGCTGTGGAGATCAAATGAGCTTTCGTTGAACTTGGAGAAGAGGAGGAAAAGTAGCCTGCTGACAACATAGAGAGGCCGTCTTTAACTGTAAAATGTGATTAGGCTCACAGCTTGGGGAATCACAGAACGTCTCACCTTGCTTTCTGCCCTACTCCTCATTGCTTTATTGCATTTGCAGTCTCCAGGGTAAATAAGAAAAATCAGAGCATAGCAACCACAGAAGGGAGAAGAGGGAGGGAGAGTGGGAGATTGCACATGGCAACCTGCGGTTTTTAGTACAAAAACTAGATAGTGCTCTTCATTTTGGGAGAGAAGGGGGAGAGGCCTCACCATGGCCAAACGAACAGCTTCCATCCCAAAGAATTATTCCAAATGGGAAAATGCATTTCCTGGAGTGGATATGTATAAATGTTGCCAATGGAAAAGGTTCAAGAGTGGCAATATGCTTTCATGTCTGTCATCAAAAAGCACTGGCAGATGGTAGATCCTGATGTCAGCCTTGACAGGATTTGAACTCACAACAGGTTGTGCTGAATGCCTATGCTTTCAGGCCAGTGAGGCGGCACCTTCCCCACTAAATGGAGACAGACTTGTAATCCCCTCTTCTTCATTACTCATGTAAAACATCCAATGCTGAGCTCTGCCCACTCACTCACCCTCAAAACACAGGGAAGGTTACTATCTAAAGATGCCTAGTTTTTTCCCTTGCTCAGGTGATAAGAGAAATCTTTCAAAAGTAGAAGGACTTGAGTGAGAGTGTCAGAGGCGGGAGAAAGAGAAATGAGATTGAAGTTGAGGAGCCGATTGCCCCAAAGATCTTCAACCCCTGCCAAGTCATCTGGCAAAGTCCTAAGGATTATGGCAATTGGGGTGGGTGGCTCTCCATTCCTGTGACAGCAACTACCAGGAAACCCTAAGACTAAATGTTGTACAATCATAAAAAAAGGATTTTCTGAGCTACAAAAATGTTCTAATCGTAAAAATCAGGAATGCCGCCAGGTCCAGTTTGCCTGAAAATAGGAAGTTAGGTGACTCCTGTGGTCCCTCCAGCCCCCACCATCCCTGACCTTCTGGAGTCCAGGAGTTCCACTGGGAATGTGCTCTTCCTCCTTCTAACTGCATCTCTTGGCCTGCAGAGCTCTGGCCTCTCCACATGGATTGGGCACCAGATGTTGTCCCTGAGCAGCCTCCCACCGTGGGCTGTCACCCTGCTGGCCTGCATCCTGGTGTCCATAGTCACAGAGTTTGTGAGCAACCCAGCCACCATCACCATCTTCCTGCCCATCCTGTGCAGCCTGGTGAGTGAGCAGGGCTCCCACATGTCTGCAGTGCAGGCCTGGACCAGGGAGCAGCTTCCACGCTGTCCTCTTGCCTCTGGGCCTTTTCACAGCCTTCAATCATTGGTGTTCAAACCACAGTTTGAAAAATTGTTTCAAATAGCAACTGTTAAGTAAATAGATAAATTAATAAGCTGCAGCGAAGGTTCTAGAAACCCTTTCCCAAAAGACTAGGATTTGTTTAGGGGCAGCCCTGAATGGAAATGAACCTTACGACCCTAGGATTCCAATTTCCTACAATCATCATCAACCTTTCTTTCCTGAGATAAGACCTAACTGCAGGCGCAGAGGAGTAACTACAGAAAATGGAGACAAAATGCTCCCAGAAGTACACTCAGTCGCAAGGACCAAGACCACAGCTCTACCATCACCTCCACCCAATTTCAGTGTCCGGAAGGTTCTGAGAATCGGGAGCAAGGCCAGCCTCATTCCACGACCTCAGAACACTTGGTTATTAATAGAACAGGGAGGGGAGCAGCTGCCAGGTCTTAGCCTGGCTAAGCAACCCCAAAGGTAATGCAGCAGACACAATCTGAAATGAAGGCTCCTCCCTGCCCCCAACAAAACAATGTCCTCCTGTTCTTCCTAACCCCAAACTCTTTGCTCATTGTTCAGATGCCTCCCTCCACCCGTCTTCCAGCATCCCATTAGTGTGAGCATGGAAGTATGCTTAGTTAAAACTTGGCAACACTGAGGGCTAGCCAACAGGTTCAAATCCATATAGAGCAAGAAGTTTAACTAGAAAAAAGGCCCCCTGGTTCTGTACCCAAGGGTGAGGAATCTCTACTTCAATCAAAGCAGCTTATTCATGAGATGTGTGTTTGAAGAAAGAATTTCTCAGCTAAAAAAAAAAATTTAAAAACCACTTTCTTGGGCCAGCACCCTCCTCGGAGTAATTCAGAGCCCATGTTTCCATGGTGAGTGTGTAGCATGAGCAGGTTTGGCTTGGTCAGCACTGCATACCATTGAGAGCAGTGATTTAACCAACCCTAGTACAAGGTGTCCAGCCAAGGTTGGCCAGCACCAAGCCATCATTTAAAGCACAGAAATGCAAGTCAAATGTCACTGCTAATGCTTCTGTGAATTCTCTCTCCCTCTAGTCTGAAACGCTGCACATTAATCCCCTCTACACCCTGATCCCAGTCACCATGTGCATCTCCTTCGCAGTGATGCTGCCTGTGGGCAATCCCCCCAACGCCATCGTCTTCAGCTACGGGCACTGCCAGATCAAAGACATGGTGAGTCACGGGTGCCTCTTCCTGCCAGGCCTAGCTGCCAGGACGGGAATGACTGGCTCCACAGCTTCTCCTGAAGTTTATTATTTTGTAGCAGTTGTCCTTGGACTGTTAACACTTAATCTAGTGTGATAGAGAGAATGGTACTGGTAAAAAGGTTTGGGGTTGGTCCATAAGCACCAAGAAGAGCTCTAATGTGCTCTAACCAACCCTTATCTGGGAGAAAGTGGGGATGTGGACAGAGAGAGCTGGGCCAGACACAGGACATGTCCCAGTTCTAGAAGGCATGAGCTTGCAGTCTTTGCTTCAGTTTCTTCATTGGACCAGTGGGATAGTCATTCAAACAGCTGGTTTATTCCTAGGAGTGAAGTCTGGGTAACTGTATGAACTGAAGGTAAAAGGTACTTTGAGAACAGGCTCCTTTTGTTGAACACTCCCCGAGGCAGGAAACTCCTGAAGCAACATCACCAAATGAAGCATCCACAGCTCATTTCTTAGTTTTCAGCTGGGCTTACAAAAGACAGCTGTGAGGGGACATCCTGCTGCTGATTTTAGTGTTGGGCATATCCACCTTCCACTCCTCAATCTGGACTCACTACTGTGCTGCTCAATATCCAGAGCTGATGGGGGCTGGGGCAGGATGAAAAAGATTAATATAGATGACTGGAGCCTGACTGTCTGAAATAGGATTCGTTTAGACCCTTGCTGAGGGTCTCAAAAATTCTCTTCACTAGAGTCCAAACTCACTCTCGGCAGCCCTGTAAGTATCACATGGAGGAAAGAAAGAGTGAGCTTCAAGCCGGTGGCAGATATATGTTCAAACTGCTCACCTAGGTCATCTGTGATACTTCAGGGAAGGGAGGCCATGGCCACCCCTCTCCCCATCTTACTGCACAAACCTCACTCTCATCCTGAGCTCTGCCCCAACTCTGTAACCCTGCACTGTCAGCTGTGTGCCCTCACCGTTCACCACAGCCTGCTACCCTGGAATCAAAGGATCAGAGGCAGTACTTTTCAAAAATACCAGAAGACAAGAAGTGAGCCAGTCTTGGGTTCTATTCCCCACTGGGGCACTGATTTGAAACTTCAATTTCCTTACTTGCTAAATGAGGAGGTTCAGACTAGACGTTCTATGTGGCCCCCTTCAGCTCTGGATCTTAATTTAGCTCCTTTAGAACCTGCCCCCCACTCACCTGCTAGGAAGCATGGGCAGTTCTCCACCCCAAAGGGCCTAGGGGACCAGAATGACTAATTCGTCCAGGGCTTGCCCCAGAAAGCAGAGAGGGGGCACATCCACTCATTTGCTTGGAACAATTTCCTAGCATTCCTTTTTCCCTTGCAACTTTCCCAACTCAATGCCAGCTAGTGGGCTTGTTGTGGCTACACCCTGTGTGCTTGGTTACACCCTGGTAGAGTGCCAGCTAGCCTTACTGTACACTTTTCCATCTGGCCCTGGTTGTGCCATCCATGCCTCACATCCCCCTCACCTGGGAGTGTCAAGGCCGTGGCAGAAATGGAAGCGGTCAGAGTCATTGGGGTGACATTCCCTCAGAAGAAAGAAGCAAAGCTAGCACGTTTGTGTCACCTTCCCATGGAAGGGCTGAGCAGAGGCAGCTGACCCGTTCCCCAGGGTATACCCAAGGTATACAACTTGTCACTTGAGAAAAATAAAAAAGGGGAACAGTGGCAAAGGCTCCATGGAACACAGCCCCTCCTACAAGTCTCCCACACCTGTTGGCACTTGAAAGGCTCTGAGAAGTTCCTGCCTTGCAGAGACCTGGGTCCTTTTGTTTAACACATTTCCCTATCATGTGGCAGCAGGACCCCTTTAACTGTAACTCTTAATGTTCAAATCTCTGGTGTTGAGTACACACTTTCAGGCCTCCTCCTTGACAGTGAGAATGCTACCAAGTGGAGCAGATTCTAACAGGCCTCTCCCAGTGGCCCCCCACTCCTATCCCCACCCCCC